ACCGTCAGAGGCATGTACCGCTCTGCTCTGAAACACTCCTGACGTTCCGTCTGACTAATTTCATATAGGCGGGAATATCGCGTCCCAAATAACATGGTATATTCGTAGATTTATGTCCGATATATCATGCCGGCGCAAAACAATTAATGAATTAAAAATAGATCATAAACCATTTACAGCGGAGCGGCGTTGCTAGGCACCACCCTTGTGTTTATACCCACACTGTACACGGTCACCCTGTGTGTGCACACCCACACTCTGTACACGGTCACCCTGTGTGTGCACACCCACACTCTGTACACGGTCACCCTGTGTGTGCACACCCACACTCTGTACACGGTCACCCTGTGTGTGCACCACCCTTGTGTTTATACCTGCACTGTACACGGTCACCCTGTGTGTGCACACCCACACTCTGTACACGGTCACCCTGTGTGTGCACACCCACACTCTGTACACGGTCACCCTGTGTGTGCACACCCACACTCTGTACACGGTCACCCTGTGTGTGCACCACCCTTGTGTTTATACCTGCACTGTACACGGTCACCCTGTGTGTGCACCACCCTTGTGTTTATACCCACACTGTACACGGTCACCCTGTGTGTGCACACCCACACTCTGTACACGGTCACCCTGTGTGTGCACACCCACACTGTACACGGTCACCCTGTGTGTGCACATACACCCACACACTGTCTCCCTCTCTCTCTCTGTCTCTCTCTCTCTCTCTCTCTGTCTCTCTCTCTCTCTCTCTCTGTCTCTCTCTCTCTCTCTGTCTCTCTCTCTCTCACTCTCCTCTCTCTGTCCTTCCCTCCCTCTCCCTCCTCCTCTTCCCTTCCCTCTGCCCTCCCTGGCTAACCCTAAAATAGCAGGGGGACACACCAAGGGAGCAGGGAATAGTCAAAATGACCTAATTTATTATTATTATTATTTTGTACCACAGACGTGGCCACACATTTACAATACTAACCAGCATATATATATATTTTCTTCTGTCCTCCATGGACAGGGTGAGAGATGTGTCAAACATACAGTTCAGGGATTTATTGAACGAACAATCAACCACAGAAGGTGATTGTTGTGCTTTTAAAATGCTATTCTAAGCTACATACGTAAATACATACACAGATTTATATATGATACTTAAAGTATTCGATGTGTCTTTTACAGAGTCATTAATGTGCATTTACAAATGTAATATAATGAAGATAGGTGTAGGGAGCAGGAGGCCAGATACAAGGTATCATCTGGGAGAGGAAATTCTTCAGGAGTCAGAGAAAGAAAAAGACTTGGGAGTTGACATCACGCCAGACCTGTCTCCTGCAGCACATATCAAGAGGATAACATCAGCGGCATATGCCAGGCTGGCCAACATACGAACGGCAGTCAGAAATTTGTGTAAAGAATCATTCAGAACTTTGTATACCACATATGTCAGGCCAATCCTGGAGTATGCAGCCCCAGCATGGAGTCCATATCTAGTCAAGGATAAGACTAAACTGGAAAAGGTTCAAAGATTTGCCACCAGACTAGTACCCGAGCTGAGAGGTATCAGCTACGAGGAGAGACTACGCGAATTAAACCTCACTTCGCTGGAAGACAGAAGAGTTAGGGGGGACATGATCACCACATTCAAGATTCTCAGAGGAATTGACGGGGTAGATAAAGAGTATTTAATACCAGAAGCACACGCACTAGGGGACACAGGTGGAAATTGAGTGCCCAAATGAGCCATAAAGACGTTAGAAAGAATTTTTTCAGTGTCAGTAGTTGACAAATGGAATGCATTAGGAAGTGAGGTGGTGGAGGCTGACTACATAAACAGTTTCAAGTGTAGGTATGATAGAACCCAAAAGGCGCAGGAACTTGTACACTAGTTGATTGACAGTTGAAAGGCGGGACCAAAGAGCCAGAGCTCAACCCCCGCAAGCAGAACTAAGTATACACACAAACACACACACAGACAACGATGAACGAGCGAGAGAGTGTCTAGTATTCACTCTGAACGACTCAGACATAAGGGAAATCGGTTTCGAAGCCTCCGTGGGAATGAGTGATCACAGGGTACTGATGAAGCACACACTAAGCGCAGACGAGGAGTCACAATAACGTGGCTGAAATATGTTGACCAACCTACATACTAGAAAGTGAAGGGACGACGACGTTTCGGTCAGTCCTGGACCATTCTCAAGTCGATTATGTGAAGTTACACAATCGACTGGAGAATGGTCCAGGACAGACCGAAACGTCGTCGTCCCTTCACTTTCTAGTGTGTGGTTTGGTCATCATACACTATCTTGCATACCATGCAAGATGATGAAGAAGATCGGGAGAAAAAAAATAGTGAAACATTTGAAGTGAGAGAACTTTATGACGCAACATCAACATGGGTTCAGGGATGGCAAGTCCTACCATACAGGGTTAATTGAATTCTACGACCAGGCAACACAAATCAGGCAAGATAGAGAGGGATGGGCAGACTGCATATTTTTGGATTGCCAGAAAGTCTTTGACACAGTACCACATAAGAGACTAGTGCACAAACCTAGAGATGCAGGCAGGAGTGGAAGGGAAGGTACTCCACTGGATAAGGGAGTACCTAAGCAGCAGAAGAAAGCAAGTCGCTGTGAGGGGTGAGGTCTCAGAGTGGCGAGGCGTCACAAATGGAGTCCCGCAGGGTTCAGTCCTTGGACCTATACCGTTTCTGATATAAGTAAATCATCTGCCAGAGGGTATAGAATCGTTCCTCTCATTGTTTGCTGATGATGCAAAGATTATGAGGAGGATTAAGAAAGAGGGGAAGAAGTATGAGGCTACAAGATGGCCTCAACAAAATGATTGGTCCAAATGCAGGCGACGAGTCACAATAACGTGGCTAAATTATGATGACCAGACCATGATCATCATGATTGGTCCAACAAATGGCTACTAAAGTTTAACCTGAGTAAATGTAAAGTAATGAAACTAGGCAGTGGAAACAGGAGGCCAGACACAAGGTACCGAATGGGAGATGAAGTCCTTCATGAAACGGACAAAGAGAAAGATCTAGGAGTTGATATCACACCAAACCTGTCTCCTGAAGCCCACATAAAAAGAATAACATCGGCGGCGTATACAAGGCTGGCTAGCATCAGAACTGCCTTCAGGAACCTGTGTAATGAATCCTTCAGAACCTTGTATACCACATATGTAAGACAAATCCTGAAGTATGCGGCCCCAACCTGGAGCCTGTACTTTGTCAAGCAAAAGAAGCTGGAAAAAGTTCAGAGGTGTGCCACTAGGCTTGTCCCAGAACAAAGTGGCATGAGGTACGAGGAAAGGCTGCGAGAAATGCACCTCACGACTCTGGAAGACAGAAGAGTAAGGGGAGGCATGATCACTACCTACACAATTGTCAGAGGAATTGACAGGGTAGATAAAGATAAACTGTTTAACAAAGGGGGGGGGGAAGAGGGAGTACCCGAACAAGGGGATACAGGTGGAAACCGAGTACCCACATGAGTCACAGAGACGTTAGAAAGAACTTTTTCAGTGTCAGAGTAGTTAAAAGATGGAATGCATTAGGCAGTGATGCGGTGGAGGCTGACTCCATACACAGTTTTAAATGAAGATGTGATAGAGCCCAATAGGTTCAGGAATCTGAACATCAATTGATTGACAGTTGACAGGCGGGACCAAAGAGCCAGAGCTCAACCCCCGCAAGCCCAACTAGGCAAGTATACGCACACATTACACACACACACACACACTACTCACACACACACACACACAAACGTGTTATAACCCAACCTAACCAATTCAAACTGGATACACTGAGGTCATACCTTTAAGTGTCAAGGTGTTACAGGAGAAGGTTACTGTGGTTCAAGGTTACACGGGACACAACATTTACAGTGTTCACCAATTCCGGTGAAACTACTTTCCAGGTACGCGTCTTACACACCAATGGGCAAACACCGCCGAGTTCACGTTCCACATGGGCTAGTCACACACACCGTATGTTCAAACACCATGTGCCAATACCCCCACTTCCGCTCTCCGGGTACACACACTGGCAGAGGGATCAACAACACGCTGATAGGGGTCTCAAACAATCATATACAGGGGTTGCTAACACCCTGACAGAAGTCTCTAGCGTCTTGCTAACAGCACTTCACGACGGACGCACCACTGTTGTCGTATAACTATTCCTGGCCAATCTTGGGTACGTCGGTTCAAACAACACTGCATACATCAGCAGCAAACACACTGCTCTTGACCGACGGCGGCCACTTAGTCCTCATCCAGGACCAAGTCAAGAGTTCAAGACTGCCCAAAGTGAACTGCCTTCTTCGGTGCAATCGCCTGCTTACGTCACCTCTGTGTATATTAAACGTCATTAATTAAATGGACAGTACACTCGGTGATTCTGGGATAACACCCGTTCACCGGGGAATTGACATTGTGCCTTGTAGCTACAACCTAGATGGCGCTGATCTCAATATGCCACCCTCCAGAGGTCATCCACATCGACCTCTCATTCTGACTGAGGGAGGAAACTGGAGCCTTCCATCGATATCACGCCACCACCAACAGATGGCGTTGTCTACATAGCGCCCAATACTAGGGAAGTTGGAGTGCAGACCCATAGATGGCGCTGAAATCGCCACTCCATACTCCGACGATGATGTCGATACCGAAACATTCATATTTGTAACTTTTTGGTAAAGTGACATATTAGTATTTGAGCCGTTTGGGGACATTGTCATTTTCTGGGGCCTGGTTTACCTTTAACTCTGGAGAGGATATTGAGGACTTAGATAAATTTCATCATAGTTTGTTGACTTCCGTCAAACAACATGTCGACATCTCTTTTCATCAAGCTTCTATAAGATGCTCGTCCTCTGCTTGTCTCTATTTAGTCGAAATTCACTGACGTTTACTTAATTAACTTACCCTGACTTCTAATCTCTAGTCAAGTGTAGAATAACTCTTACAAGGTAGATTCACTTCATTAGGCTACCTGGGGTTCGTAACACTTCACACCGTGTCGACGCCCTCCTACTGTCTTCACACCGTGTCGACGCCCTCCCACTGTCTTCACACCGTGTCGACGCCCTCCCACTGTCTTCACACCGTGTCGACGCCCTCCTACTGTCTTCACACCGTGTCGACGCCCTCCCACTGTCTTCACACCGTGTCGACGCCCTCCTACTGTCTTCACACCGTGTCGACGCCCTCCCACTGTCTTCACACTGTGTCGACGCCCTCCCACTGTCTTCACACTGTGTCGACGCCCTCCCACTGTCTTCACACTGTGTCGACGCCCTCCCACTGTCTTCACACTGTGTCGACGCCCTCCCACTGTCTTCACACTGTGTCGACGCCCTCCCACTGTCTTCACACTGTGTCGACGCCCTCCCACTCACCTCACACCGTGTCGACGCCCTCCCACTCACCTCACACCGTGTCGACGCCCTCCCACTCACCTCACACCGTGTCGACGCCCTCCCACTCACCTCACACCGTGTCGACGCCCTCCCACTCACCTCACACCGTGTCGACGCCCTCCCACTCACCTCACACCGTGTCGACGCCCTCCCACTCACCTCACACCGTGTCGACGCCCTCCCACTATGTCATGTCATGACTCTCTCACTCACCTCACATAAGAGGAAAATGATAATACGACCGTCCGCTCCGTCAGCCACTACAACGTTCCACTGTATAAACTAACATTTGCAACATTACACAGTAATAAATTAGCCTTGGCAACATTGCATGGGAACATTGTAGGGTCATGTTGCAATGGACAAGTTGAAGAGGATGACCTGTGAGAAGGGGCACCGAGGGACAGGTAGACAGGTATGGTCGCGGGCTTGCGGTCTTCCAGTGTGAAGGAACGTTTAGGAAAAATGATTTATTTCGTTGAAGTAATATCTTGAGAGGTTATCTTGAGATGATCTCGGGGCTTAGCGTCCCCTCGGCCCGGTCCTCGACCAGGCCTCCTTTATGTTACACATCCCCAGGAAGCAGCCAGTAGGAGCTGTTCAATTCCCAGGTACCTATTTACTGTTCGGTGAACAGGGCATCAGGGTGAATGAAACTCTGCCCAATTGTTTCTGCCTCCTTCGGGGGACCGAACCCGGAACCTTAGGGCTACGAATAGCAAACGCTATCCACTCAGCAGTCAGGCCCTCTCTAGCAGTAAGAGAAGGGATATTTCGTTCAGTGAAATATACTTAGATCAATCAGGAACATCAGTTGCAATAGTGTGTGCTGGAATTATAAATTTTGCACAGTGTAGACTTGCTTTGCATGTATTCTTTCTTACGTGCTGTGGGAGTGGGAGTTCAAAAACCCGTAATGATCGCTCAAGGTCAGTGCAGGAGGGAGATAAGATCTTGCAAGGTGATACAAGTATCTCCATTTATCCTGGAGCTCCTATCCTATCAAAGGCTTATCTCTCTCCTACGCCCCCTCCTTATCCCCCCATTCCCCATCACTCTCATATTTCATTCATTTCTTGCAATCTCCTACACAACAACACCTCCTCCCCTTCCCTTGTAACCCCTTTCCTCCTCACTATCTACTACAAGCTCCTTCCCTCCCTTTCTTCCCACACACCTCTGCCAATGCATGCACTCACTTGCAACCCCAACCCTTCCCCCTCACACACCCCCTCCCCGTCACCCCCCCCATCCCCTTCCAGTGCATTTTATGCAACAGCTGTGACATCATCAATGGAATATGCTTGTTAACTTTTTTAAAGGTAGATCTCATATTTTAGGTCCTTGAGGAATTTTTATGACAGCTCAATCAATGAGGGAAGGATGGAGGAGAATGTGTGGGTGTTGCAAGATGCAACTTTACCCTGCACTCTGGATGAGATGCCTCCCATCACTTCCACACTTCTAGATCAGAGACAGGGGCCTTTGCATCATGGATTCCTGGAACCACCATTCTCCTCCACCCACTCTCACTCCACTTCCACCGACTCCTTACTTCCTCCTATCACACCATCTTATCTTCACTTGCACCATCCGCAACTTACCAACTTTCCAAAAGACTAAACGAACTTCTAACTCCATACACTCCCATCAACTACAGTTTACAGTCATCAGCAGTTTTCCTTGTGATAATCAAGACTACACAGCTCGATGGATTTATTGCTTCACTGGTCGTCGGATCGCTATTTACCAACGTCCCAGTCGACACAACCATAGATATGATACTGGACAGAGTATACAGAGACGAGAGCACCGCCAAATTAGACTTACCCGACCCACACTTGAAAAGCCTTCTCGAGGCATGTACAAAAGAAGCTCCTTTCATCAGTCCGCAAAGGGACATGTATCTACAGATAGACGGAGTAGCAATGGGCTTCCCCTTAGGAGTGCTATTTGCTAATATTTACATGGAAACCATCGAGGAAAGAGTCTTCAGTAGCAGACACAAACCCAGATTATACTGCCGTTATGTCGACGACATATTCGTTATAGTAAAAGACCTAGAAGAACTAATTGGTCTAAAAAGTTATCTGGAGAGAGAGAGAGTCAGGACTCCGATTCACTCATGAAAATAGTGGAAATAACAGTCTGCCTTTCCTGGATGTGTTAATAACAAAAACAGGAGTCTCTCTAAGCACCAGCGTATATACTAAGCCTACTAACATAGGATTATGCCTAAACGGTATGAGTGAGTGCCCCCAACGATACAAAGCCAGTGTTCTCAACGCTTATATTCGTCGAGCTCTTACCCACTGCTCTGAACGGAGCAACGTGAGTAGGGAGTTTGAAAGGATAACACAAGTACTGGTGAATAATGGCTATATTAACCACGAGATAAACACCACTATAACACGACACTTGGACTGTTGGTACAACCCTTAACCAAGAACGGAAACCACAACACCGTCACTAAAATTATATTACAACTCTACCATGCACAGTGAATATAAGAAAGAGAAAAGCCTAATGAAGGAAATAATGACTAAACCACACATCAGAAGATGTAAGAAGTTACCCTACAACGTAAGCGGGAAAAAGAACTAGCTGCCCTACAACGTGAGCAGGTTGAATTCCAACGTGAGCGTGAGAGGGAACAGCTCGAACTAAGAGAACGCGAGCTAGCTGGAAATACAACGTGAACACGAGAAGAAACAAGCCGGCATGACTCTAGACAACCGTAGGAAAGACCTCGACTTGAAAACTGCACACCACACTCGGCGCCAACAAGCTGAAGCTAACCTCCGGGTATGTTTTAACCTTTCACATGCAATTAAGTTAATTCCATCATTTGTTGAAGCAGAAGTAGATGTCTTTTTTACTTCATATGAGGCTCTAGCTACCCAACCTAGCTGGCCTCAGGATCAGTGGTCTGTGCTTCTCAGGTCTCATTTAACAGGTAGAGCTGCAGTGACTCAGTACTATAGCATCTGAAACCGACTACAAGGTATTGTAGTCGGTTTCACCACTGCCCCTCACCCCACCTCGGACCTGGCGATGCCTTGGGAGCTCACGCCACCCGAAACAAGCAGTTTAACAGCCGGTTAATAGTTAAAGAAGTCACCAGCGCCCTCTGCCCAGCTGTCATTGTGTATAAATAGGGTTGCCTAGCCCGCTATGAGTTAGATTACTCCTGAGTGCTCTTGCTGAGTAGACCTGTTGACATACCCCGGTGTGGTAACAGAGCTATTCAGTTTGACTCACAGAATTCCTGCAACATATTTTCTAATCTTCGAATCTAACACGAATTAACACGAATCTTCTCAATATTTCTTATGTTTTTCTTCACTGTCGGTGGTAATAAAAGTAACAATTCTCCGAAATTCATTTTTTAATTGTCTGACGCCTGAACGCGCTTCGTAATTCGTATTACATTTTCAAAGACTTAATTTACACACAAATTCTTCGTACTTATACTCTATTGGATGAGGTGATATGGTACAAAAGTTTTGGGTGAGATGACAAACACAAGACAGAACACGAAACAATGGGTATAAATTGGATAAGTGAATATATGAATGGAAGTAACTGCAGAAGGTCTATTGGCCCATATTTCCTCTTGCTGCTTCCATATTGGTTCGGGGTCTTGAAGTAGGTAGAATATAGTGCATTAATTGGCTGTTGATTGCTGGTGTTGACTTTTTGATGTGTAGTGCCTCGCTGATGTCAAGCCGCCTGCTATCGCCGTACCTATCGAAGATTTCTGTGTTGTTTGTTAAGATTTCTCTGGTGATGGTCTGGTTGTGAGAAGAGATTATGTGTTCCTTGATGGCTCCCTGTTGTTTATGCATTGTTAGTAGCCTAGAAAGAGACGTTGTTGTCTTGCCTATATACTGAGTTTTTTGGGGCTTACAGTCCCTAAGTGGGCATTTAAAGGCATAGATGACGTTGGTCTCCTTCAAAGCGTTCTGCTTGGTGTCTGGCGAATTTTTCCTGAGTAGATTGGCCGTTTTTTTTGTTTTATAATAAATTATCAATTGTATTTTCTGATTTTTGTCTTTTTTTATTTTGAGTGGTGTAAGGTGGCACCACCAAAGATACCTTACAAGCAGAACTTATTGCAGAAGGAGGAAAGATTCGAGGCAACAACAGAAGCACCAAACTGTCCCCCGAGCTCAAAGCGGCAGCTAAGAGCCTTCGTGAGAACAAGGAGATAGTCGTCAGGAGAGGTGACATGTCGCCAATATACGTCATTCTTAAAAAAAGACGAATATCTGCCGAAAATGAACCTCATACTCTCTGACCAAACTAAATTCCAAAGGGTAACGATGGATACTACAGCCGAACTGAAAGCAAAGGTTAACAGATTGATCGAAACTGTGAACGCCAAGAAATCCGGACTCCACCTGCCAAAGATTATTGGGGAATACAAACCTGGGTATGCTTATGGAAATGTCATGACACACAAGCCTGGAAACCCACTTCGGCCAATCATCACCCACACCCACGTACAGACTGGCAAAGCGACTCAACGGCTTGCTGACCCCTTATGTCCCTTGCACCTTCAGCCTGAAGTCTCCAAAGGAATTTGTTGACTTACTGCAGGGAACACAGGCCGCAGGGATAAGAGCCTCGTTGGACGTAGAATCACTGTTTACCAACGTACCTGTGGATGAATCAATCGGGATGATAGCGGACAGAGTGTATCGTGATCCGGCCTGTACTCCTCTTGACATACCAGAAAACATTCTAAGGAAACTACTCCAAGCTTGTACTAAAGAGGCACCCTTCTTGAGCCCGGATAGGCACATGTATAAGCAAGTAGATGGGGTCGCCATGGGTTCTCCCCTAGGTGTCCTGTTTGCGAACTTCTACATGGGTACCATCGAACAAAAGGTCTTAGTCGACATGAACTTGAAACCGGCCATATACTGCAGGTATGTTGACGACATTTTTACACAGGTACCTGATGTCAGACATCTGCAAGAGCTGAAAGAGGCATTCGAGGGGAATTCTGTGTTGTGTTTCACTTACGAGATGGAGAAGAATGGGAAGCTGCCCTTTCTAGATGTAACAGTCATGGAAAGGAGCGGAGGTTTCCACATTGCAGTCTACACTAAGGAAACAAACATAGGAATGTGCCTCAATGCCAACAGTGACTGCCCAGACAGGTACAAGAGGAGTGTTGTTAACGCCTATGTCG